AATCAAAGGCATCAAAATTGGCAAAGATGATGTCAAGCTTTCACTTTTTGCAGATGACATGATTCTATACATGGAAAATCCAACAGACTCCACCAAAAGTCTAGAACTGATACATGAATTCAGCAAAGTTACAGGATACAAAATTAATGTACAGAAATCAGTTGTATTTTTATAAACCTATAATGAAGCAACAGAAAGACAAATAAAGAAACTGATCCCATTCACAATTGCACCAAGAAGCATAAAACACCTAGGAATAAACCTAACCAAAGATGTGAAAGATCTGTATGCTGAAAATTATAGAAAGCTTATGAAGGAAATTGAAGAAGATACAAAGAAATGGAAAAACACTCTGTGCTCATGGATTGGAATTATAAATACTGTTAAAATGTCAATACTACCCAAAACAATCTACACAATCAATGCAATCCCAATCAAAATTGCACCAGCATTCATCTCGAAGCTAGAATAAGCAATCCTGAAATTTGTATGGAACCACAAAAGACCCCGAATAGCCAAAGTAATAATGGAAGAAAAAAAAAAAAACAAAGCAGAAGGTATCACAATCCCAGACTTTAGCCTCTACTACAAAGCTGTAATCATCAAGACAGCATGGTATTGGCACAAAAACAGACACATAGACCAATGGAATAGAATAGAGACTCCAGAACTGGACCCACAAAAGTATGGCCAAATAATCTTTGACAAAGCAGGAAGGAATCCAATGGAAAAAAGACAGTCTCTTTAACAAATGGTGCTGGGAGAACTGGACAGCAACATGCAGAAGAATGAAACTAGACCACTTTTTTACACCATTCACAAAAATAAACGCAAAATGGATGAAGGACCTGGATGTGAGACAGGAAACCATCAAAACCCTAGAGCAGAAAGCAGGAAAAAACCTCTCTGATCTCAGCTGCAGCAATTTCTTACTTGACACATCTCCAAAGGCAAGGGAATTAAAAGCAAAAGTGAACTATTGGGACCTCATGAAGATAAAAAGCTTCTGCACTGCAAAGGAAACAATCAACAAAACTAAAAGGCAACCAACGGAATGGGAAAAGATACTTGCAAATGACATATCTGATAAAGGGCTAGTATCCAAAATTTATAAAGAACTGACCAAACTCCACACCCAAAAAACAAATAATCCAGTGAAGAAATGGGCAGAGGACATGAATAGACACTTCTCTAAAGAAGACATCCAGATGGCCAACAGGCACATGAAAAGATACTCAATGTCGCTCCTCATCAGGGAAATACAAATCAAAACCACACTGAGATACCACCTCATGCCAGTCAGAGTGGCTAAAATGAACAAATCAGGAGACTATAGATGCTAAAGAGGATGTGGAGAAACGGGAACCCTCTTGCACGGTTGGTGGGGATGCAAACTGGTGCAGGCGCTCTGGAAAACAGTTTGCAGGTTCCTCAAAAAATTAAAAACAGATCTACCCTATGACCCAGCAATAGGAATTTACCCAAGGGATACAGGAGTGCTGATGCATAATAGGGGCACTTGTACCCCAATGTTTATAGCGGCACTTTCAACAATAGACAAATTATGGAAAGAGCCTAAATGTCCATAAAGTGACAAATGGATAAAGAAGATGTGGTTTATATATACAATGGAATATTATTTGGCAATGAGAAAGAATGAAATCTGGCCATTTGTAGCAACATGGATGGAACTGGAGAGTATTATGCTAAGTGAAATAAGTCAGGCAGAGAAAGACATACTGTATATTTTCACTCATATATGGATCCTGAGAAACTTAACAGAATACCAGAGGGGAGGGTAAGGGGGGAAAAGTTATAGAGAGGGAAGGAAGCAAACCATAAGAGACTCTTAAATACTGAGAACAAACTGAGGGTTGATGGGGGGTGGGGGGGGAGGGTGGGTGATGGGCATTGAGGAGGGCACCTGTTGGGATGAGCACTGGGTGTTGTATGGAAACCAATTTGACAATAAATCACACACACACACACACACATATATATGCATATATATATGTTAATATATATATAAAGTTAAACTAATTGATAAAAAAATGGTAGACTGTGCAAAGAGAAGATAGTCCTGAACAGCAGATAACCAGATAACCAGAGGGAAGTATTTACATAAAGCTTCAGAGTTTGCATTTAAATTTGAACATAGTGTGTTTAGGGCCATGTTAGTTCCCAAGGTATTAAAATACAACATTAAAATCTACTGATGAGGAAGAGCATCAAGAAGAAACTAGAAGTTCTGAGAAAGCAACTCCTTCCTTCCCCTCTACATTACCATAAAGGTATGGTTGGCAAAGGTAATAACAGTGACGTATAGTTATGTGTTGTACTTCCTGTGACATGGACTTCGATGAGACTGGTCCTTAAATGTTAAAAAGGACATGCTTTCCTAATAATTAATAGAGATTTATGTAAATGAGTGTGTTTTTGTTTTTCATACACATGTCAATCTGTAGAGTGCGCCGTTAAAGCAAACAGCCTTGTTTAAAAAAATCTACAAAGCAGCAGACAACTGTTTTGGTCTGTGATTTTGATATTCGTTGTCCTTTCAAATCAGAATTTGTAGACTCAGCAAAAACCCATGAGCTTTGAGCACCTGCTTTTCTAAAAAACAGAACCCCCCCCCCCAAAAAGCAAAAAAGCCACAAACCCACAACAACAAACAAACGAAAAACAAAACAAAACAAAACAAAAAAAACCAACAACAGCTAGGATTTGGAATGAAAGTTTAGCTCTGGAAATACATGTATTTTTCTTCTAAGAAGAGTTTGCCCAAATGGTATTTACAGTTCAGGGTCCACGGTAACATCACAGATCTAAGAATGAAAAGTTCACTCTTTGATATTCACACTGGCCAGATATCAAATGAACTCTGCTTTTTGTGAGGAGGCTGGAGCATCATGTTCCAGAGGGAGGCAGACAGTCTGACTGAGAACCAGCAACTAATGCCACTCAATGTTCTAGAGCACTTGTTTCCTGCCCTATGAGATGCTAAAATCTGGACCCAAAAGGGTGTTTTTCCAACATCTAAAAAAACCATGAAAGAAAAGGGAATAACAAAGCAGGGCCAAGATCTAAGATTTCACATTCCTAATGATAAGAGTGCTAAAAAAAATTTGTGTTCTTTCTCCTGGTTCCATCATTTAATAAGAAGTAGGCCATAGACAGCAGAACATATACTTGTAGCAAAAGTGAAAACATCATTGATTGGGCACCCTCAAATCTGCTACCAAGCCACTGTGTCCCACTACTCAGGCCAGACAGCCCACAGGTAAATGTGTGCATGTGTGTCTGTCAGCCAGTCTCCATGACAACCTAGAACAGACATCTCTGAGGTTACCACAGTAGCTCAAAGCCAACAGAGCTGGTCTCAGTAGGGCTGGGTTCTGAATCTAGGTCTTCCCATCCCAGTCCCTGTACATGGCCTCAGGCCAGGCGGAGTGAGAGGATCTGTGCCCAACTCTGAGCAACAAACATCTGGCACACAAGCGCCTGAAGTGGCAGTAAAGATTAGGAGGAGAAAGCAGCTGAGAGATCTCAGGCCTCGGGCAAGGAAGTCGTTAAAGGAGTCTATCAATGTCGTACGTAAATATACACCACGAGCAGAGAAGGAACGCTGGAGAAGGAAAGCATGTGAGTCCTGCCCACCTGTCGGCCATGAGGAGAGCTGTACTTAAAAGCCTCTGAGCCGACCGTGGAGAAGGGGTCTCTCTCTTCTAGAAGGATTTCAGTTTCACTTCTACAAGTGCTGAGTCCTCCAGGAGAAAAGGACAAAGTTTCACAATATATCTGAGCTCCAGTGCATTTACTATTTGGTTCAATGCCTTTAAAAAATCCAAAACAAAACTTGACTTGAAACAGAACCATTATCCCAGAGCACCAGTATTTTTCCACTGTTGGGACAGGCCAGCAAAATCAATCAGCAGCAGCTCCAGCTTTTTTTTGTTTTAATTTAAACCTGATAAATCCAGAACCAAAATACCATGGAGGATGCAATCTATAGACAGTTCATTGGGCACACGGTATGTATCAGGTCTCTGTGCTAGATGCTGAGGACCAGGTGCACCGCTCGAACAAAACCCAGAATTCCTGTCCTTACAGGTCTTAGAGTCTAGTGCAATTCCAGTCTGGAAACAAGTCTTTATTCAAAAGAGTGTATTTTACATGAAAATACCATCTCTGTTACATAGCCAGGGCTGTGGCTGCAGAAGAGGTCTATGCATTTTGGCTATATAAAAATCCTCTGGGAATATAAACTTCATGCTTCTTTAACACCTGCTCTTAAGAACTTGTTTTGTTGGGTTCTTGGCAACACTCTTAACAGAAGGTCGCTAGGAGTAACTGACAAGGATATCTGATTACAAGTTCCTTAAGGAATAAAGCAGAAGCCTATTGGGCCACAGTCTCTCCCAGGACTCACAACAAACATGCAATAAACATGCTTGCTGAATAACAAATCTCTTCAAATGCTTCCTGTTGCTGTGAAAAGGCAAAGCCATATTTTGGACTCCTCACACTTTTGGTTCAGGACGATGGCTGGAATTTCTCTACAGATAAACACTGGTTGCAACTACACTGAAGAGACATTGAATTCTAGGGTAGATCATACTAGTTTAACACCTTCATTTTATGGATAAGAATGCCTAGAGCCCGTCATGACTTGTAGGGGCGGATCTGAGGCCAGGGAAATTTCTAGGGCTTTGTGCTATAATCTATAATCTACACCCCTCTATCACTGTCCCCCTGAAGCCAAACACAAGTGACTAAATGTTAGCTGCAAACTAATTTGTCTTTGGAGCTCAAACTCCACAACTACTTGAGAGTGGAAGGCTCTTATCAATTTAGTCTTTGGAAAGCTTAGTTCTGGTGAAAATATGTAATAATCTGATAAACATCAGGAAAACTCAAGTGTACAATACTGTACACAGAAGATTCATTTCTAAGGCCAAAGAGTTCACCCCCCCATCAGAAAATTCAGTACATTCACATACCGGCCGTCCATGGATGCTTTCATAATATAGCAGAGCTTTCTGCAGAGCTACCTTCTCATTAGCAATCTGGTCTTTGGTCATATCCTGAATAAACACAAGGATAGAGAAATGAAAGAGGGGGAAACATTTATGAACATCCCAACTTCTTTATTTAAACAAATTTTCTCAAGTAACGTTAAAGAGAATCCTCATACAATAGCTCCTTGAGCTCTATTCAAAGCTCACTTAGGAATGAGTTCTTCCGGACTCTTTTACTGGAAATATGGATAGCACAGCCGAGGCATCATCAACTACTTGCATCTCCCATGTGGCAGCAAAGGCACGCTGAATACTGACGTAAGCAAGGCAGCGAGGCACATGGAGGTCAGCTCAATGGCCCAAGCAGTGACTACAGTCACAAATTACAAAGTCCCAAAGCTCTGTCTATAATCCTTCTACTTCAGACTCATCAAACCATCTGTTAGCCTGAATGAGGTCCTTCTGTGATCTGTACAATAGAGTTTTCTGCTTCCAATTTGTAGTCATAAACCAAAGTACCTACAGTGAAAACACTCGGAAGCTGTTTCAGCAGCCTCCCTAGGCATCTAAGAGTGTGGAAGATGAGGGTGTGGGAGGTCTGCAAAGGTGTCACCACATCTCTCTTCCCATTGGGACCCATGTGTCAGGCCCTATGTTTCTACCATGTTGACTGGAATGGTTTAGGACTAGCAGTTAGCTGGGGCCTTCACCAAATCGCCACACCTTAATGTCCTCAGGACGGCTGGTTTCTGTCCGCTTCTCCTGGAGCTTCCTCTGGATGGATTCCAGTGTGGCTTCAACGCTGGGCTTTATTACTTTATCCATGAGCTCTTGCTTCTTCTCCTCTTCTTTCTCAAGCTGGGAACCAAAACTCTTGGGGAGCGTGTTACTTCGCTGCCGCATCCTGGGGGTTAGGTCCTCTTCAGATATCTTTAGTTTTGACTCTAGTTGAAAAGATTTGGGGGTGGTGATACATGAGAATTGATGTCTGCTGAACCCAGATTGCTTTTCTGTGGTGCTAATAACTGTTTAGCCCCATCTTTTTGAAAGAAAGTATCTAATTATAACAGTAGTTAAAATCCTTGGGTTATTATGTAAAAGCCTGAAAAAATGCTCATGTTTTCTTGGATTATCTGGAATGTTTTCCAAATTCCTGGGAAAGCTTTAGCTATGTAACCTCCATGCTTTGTCCACACCAACAGGTTTGCTGTTCTCAGAATGTGACAGACGTTTCCTATACTTTCTCCCTTACTGTTTATAGGTACCTACTGATTCAGCACTCAACTGCTGGCCAACTTTTTCTCAATAACTTACATCCCTCATTTTGGAATTACTTTCCCTTTCTATTCTATTTGGTTGTTTATGACTGTCTCCTAAAAGACAGCATGCTTTTTGAGGGACAAGGACCAAATTCTTTTCATAGACATCTGTGTTTATAGGTCTTCTCCTAACACCACAGCAAATAAAACCTTGGTACTTTAGTAAGTGTTGACTTGAAACCATCATCCTTAAATTCGTGATTTAGGGAATTGGAGAAATGTTTCAGAATTTGCATCTTAGCTGATCTGAGTTGACCTGTGATAGAGACCATGGACAGACATGGGCAAGGTGTCCCCTGAACACCACATGCACTGGGAAGCAGTGTTAAGGAACTGGTCTTTTCTGAAATATTTCAGCCCGTGGTCAGGATGTGGTGAGATGATGAATTCTGCGGGTGGCATGTCTTACAGAAGCCATGCCATGGGTCTAGAACTTTACCTACCTTTAAGTTGTTTCCGGAATTTGGCAAGGTCATTTGTCCATTTTAGAACCTCTGGATTGGCTGCTTTGTCACTGTGGGAAGGCTGAGAAAGGGAAAATTTAACATAAATGTTTTCAAACTGGGGCAGGAAAAAGAAGAAAAGTTTGATGGTGAGATTGTTTTAAAGAGGAAGGGAAAGTTGAGTCCCACTGGAAAAAGAAATTAAACATGAACAATCACAGCAAACGTCACAGGTGTGATTCCACTGTCTTTCTTTACATCTGGTTATTTTTGATGCTTTCAAAGAATTCCTCAGAGGCAAAATGGTGAATTTCTATGAGGTCCATGGCCCGTTTTCATGAGGTGTAGGGCTCAGGCCATCAGGCTAACAGAACAGAAAGCAGAGGGGTGTAGGTTTTACACTGCAATCACCATGCAAATGTCTTTTTGCTGCACTTGGGGGTAATGCTAAGATAGATCTGAGAGTAGAATGAGGTCAATGCTAATGAAATTTTAGAAGATAATCTTGAATGAAGTTTTAGCCAACGAGAAGACATCATTTAATGATTTTTCCCATTCCTTTTCATGGATAAATGTATAAGATGTCGACTACAACGTTCAATTATTTGTAAGAATACCTTGTACAAGGAAAATGCTGATACATGATGTTTGGGACTTATCAGGGTTTCCCATCCAGTTTTTACTGCCTTTTTGTCTTAAGGTCCATAGAAATCTCCCTTAATCTTTCATCACTTCTCTGAGCTGCTGACAGGCTGGCATGTCAGCATGTCAGGGGACAGGAGGGGACAGGGAGAACCCTGCAAGGAGGCACTTACTCTGTACTTCCTCTCTTCTTCAAATCTATCTTCAAACTTTCGGATCTTCTTTTTAAGGCTCTGAATCCGTCGCGTGAGCTGGGCAGGTGTCAGGTCCTCCTGCTCATCATCGTAGGACCCGAGAGAGGAGCTCCGTCGCCTGTGAGGGGCACAGCGTGGGGCACTCACTGCCTGACAGGTGGGGCTTGGGGAAGGGGATGCAGCATGGAAGGAGAGGGTCCCAAAGGTCTCCATCCTCTTGAATAAGAAAAAGTTGACTACCAATTCACTTTGTGACCCTGGGCTCTAGATGTCCCCTTTATTAAATAGGTCTTTCTATTGCTCACATTTACGATTGGCAAAGGTAGTACTAAACTATGTGCTGCAGACCCCAAAGTTACATTTTAGATAAACTTTGGAAAGGATGTGCTAATGGAAATTCAGTATGTGGTGATATAGTTGGGCCAATTGAAAAATTACAATGGAGCCTGCATACTGGGATGGAGTATTCCCCATAGGTTCTTCCAAAGACTTACAATGTAACTTAAAAAATTACTAGCCATCAACACCATTCCTATTCTTTCTAATGTTATGGTCAATGATGCAACTGCTTACCAGCAACACAAACATACCTCATGAAAGAATGGGAATTTGGGGGAGAAGGAGGCACTTCTGTGTCATCCAGGTATTGCCGACTCTGCCCATAAGCGTAGAACCGAGGAGAGAGCATGGGGTCACTGTCCTCATCCAGGAGCTGACGAATCAGGCGCCCAGCCTGTGGGGAGAGGTGAGCTTCGTCGGAGTCCACGTTCTCCTGCTGCCACGAGAAGGTAGGGACTGGCTCTGGAAAATACAGAGGGTAAGAAGTCAAAACCACTCATAAAAGCAAATTGTTTCCAGTGTGTTGGGTGGGGGGATGGGCTAGGTGGGTGATGGGCATTAAGGAGGGCAGTTATTGGGATGAGCACTGGGTGGTGTATGTAACCGACGAATCACTAAATTCTACTCCTGAAACCAAGACTACCCTATATGTTAACTAACTTGGATTTAAATTTAAAAAAGAAAGAACGAAAGAACGAAAGCAAGCAAGCAAGCAAGCATAATTGTTCCCTAGGTTTTCTGAATGGTTTAGGATGCACTGGATTTGGGAGGCACTGAACAACCTCTCACTTCAGATTTCAGGTGCAGATGAAGGGTGCTACACCCCAACAGAAATCATCAATAGATCCGACAGCCTTCATCTACCTTCTAGCTCTGTCCTCACTTGCATTCAAAAGAGAAGGGGGTGAGAACGTTTTCACATGAGGGCATCGTGGAGAAGAAAAGCAAGTGCATCAGCAAGAGAGATATTTGGCGTCATGGATATGTATCCATCAGTGAAATGACCAAAGAGTCAAATTCATCTTGTGAGAGCCCATTTACCTAGCAGTCTGGACTTCCATTTGGGACTTTCAGTAAGCTGTTCATGTGCTTCTGCTTAGCGCTGGGATTAGCACATTTAAGATGCATGTTTTGCACTTGAAACTTCAGAAGCTGCTCAAGACTACAGTTAAAGTAAGGTGCTTACACAGATTAGTCAAAAACACAAAGAAGAATGGCTTGCAAAGGATAAATCTGTACAAATTATTTTAGTCTTTAAGGAGAAAAACCATACTCAACACAACCTCCTGATTTGTCATTTTTGGAGGGAATAGTGATATTTCTCTTTCCCTTAAGACCCACCTCAATATATTCCTTTTTTCATTAAAAAAGTCCTACCAGATTTTAAAGATAGATCTCAGATGAGGTAGGGTATTTCATTTGTAGTACTCCCTGCATTAAAAAAAAAAGTTATGCCTTAAGTATACTTATGGATTACTGTGATTTATACAAGGCTAGAATTTGGCCATGCTCTGAAAGTTTGGGATTCCTAGAGCTTGAATCATGTAACATTTGTTCCTCCATCTATCAAAGTGTTTATAAAATCTACAAAATTATCTTAAACAAGTACCTATTCAGTATTTTATTTAAAAGCATTATATTATAATCATAGAACGTTAGAGCTAGTTGAAACTTCATACATCATCTAATTTAGCGATTTCTCAGCCCTGGCTGCATGTTAGCATCACAAAGGGAGATACGTGAAACTTCTAACACACAGGTTGTCAACCACTCAACTCAACAGAATGTTCAGGAGAGGGCCCAGATATACTACCTGCCCCTCCACACCTCCCCCCTACCCCAACACACACACACACACACACACACACACACACACACACACACACACACACTTTAAAAGCTGCCCAAGAGATCCTACACGCATTCAGATTTGAGAACCATGGATTCAGTCCAACAGAGAACATATAAGGAAAGTGAAACCCAATGAATTTAAGAGCAAATACCTAATCAATGACAAGAGTTAGGACTAACACTAGATCTCCTGACTTGAAGGAAAGCGCTTCAGTTTAGTATGTGCCAGATGCTCCAATAACAAGGATGACTATGACGTTTTTGAAGACCCCACAGTAGAAGAGGTAAGCACATCACTTAAAAAAAATTAACCTCAGGTAGAATGACATCCCTAGGGTCTCAACATTTAAAGAGAATGAAGTTATCTGGGAACTCAGGTGGTAATACAAATTATTTTTAAAAAGGAAAGCAATGTTAAAGACAGATTTTTGTCCACTCATCTCCCAAAGTGGCAGGGAACACGTGGGTAGATGTACTTGACTAAAGCTGGGGGGGACCAGGAGTTCCCCTCATATGCACTAAATCTTGCAGCAGGCTCCTCCTAGGTGTCAGGGCTCAGATACAAGCAGCTCCAAACTGCTGGCAGAAAAGAACAGAAAATGAGATGGAGGGGTGAGGGAAGGAGAGAGTCAGTGGAAAGTAACCCCTAGAGGAATAAGAAAAATGGAGTAAGCTGCAGAAAATGGAAGTATTAAGCTGGCTAGACTGTATCTTTTCATGATATTTCAGAAGACAGCAGCAATTTTCTTTAAGGAGTAGTATCAGTGGAGGCAGGCAGGGAAAGTGTTAAGATGGCTTACACAGTGTTGCAGCAGGCTATAACTTCACCCCAGAGTGGCAAAGGAGCAAAACAAGCGGGGGAGGGGGAGGCCAAGGTGGCATGCAGGGGACAGAGGGCACCGGCAAAGCAAAGTGTGATATTGATATTGGCATATGGGCCATATGCCAGTTGACATTGGCCAGTTTGACATTTCGACTCATCGCAATTTGAAAAGGTGTCACCTCAGATCCTGAAGTCCTTGAGTTTGTCTGAACCTAGCAGAATGTCTCTTTAGAAATAGAACAACTGGGGCACCTGGGTGGCTCAGTCAGTTAAGTGCCCGACTTCGGCTCAGGTCATGATCTCACAGCTTGTGAGTTCAAGCCCTGTGTCAGACTCTGCCGGCAGCTGGGAGCCTGGAGCCTGCTTCGGATCTGTGTCTCCTTCTCTCTCTGCTCCTCCCCCGCTTGCATTCTGCCTCCCAAAAATAAACAAACATAAAAAAAAAAGAAAAGAAATAGAACTAATCTTTCAGTTTTAAACTGTGTCTGAAACAAGAGTGTGTGTCTGTGACCATTATCCAAACATGTCTCCAGTAAAATAATATATCGTGATCCTGAATTAACTATAAAATACTAATCGTGGAACGGAGTTATGTTATCCTTTGTGGGTAACATGGGGCCATTCATCAGACTTCCTTTTTCTTAACACAGCTCCATTCTTGACCACTCATTTCACTGACAAGATGTCCCAATGTGTCCTTTTCCTAACATCACCAGTGGTATATATGGAATACAAAGTGGAAGCAATTCTAGCTTATGGGTGACATTTTCTCTTAAAGGATAGAGTTAGCATAAATGCATTCACTAAAAAGCGAGAAATGTAAAACCACTTTGAATTTCAACCTTAAAAATAAAAGGTTATGCTGCATCATTGGTATGCATGTAGAACAAAAGTGAAGTTTCTCACTCAGGCAAAATGAAATGAAATGCTTGTGCTTCTCCTCTTTCTCTTTTGGTTTCCATGGATTTATTCATGTACTTTTTAAATTGAAGTATAATTAACATACAGTGTTATCTTAGTTTCAGGTGTATAACATTCAACAATTCCATACATTACTCAGTGCTCATCAAGATGAGTGTACTCTTCATCTCCTTTATCTATTTCACCTATTCCCTCCACTCACCTCCCCTCTGGCAATGATCAGTTTGTCTGTCAGAATCTGTTTTTTGTTTGCCTCTTTTTTTCTTTGTTCATTTGTTTTGTTTCTTAAATTCTGCATGAGTGAAATCATATGATCTTTGTCTGTCTCTGACTTATTTCGCTTAGCCTTATACCCTCTTAGGTCCATCCAGGTTGTTGCAAATGGCAAGATCTCTTTCTTTCCTTTTATTCTATATGGTCTTATAGTTTAGAACATATAGTTCAATATAACTCAATCAATAAAACCAACTATTCCTCTGTTTTAGTTTGAAATGATCTAAAAATACAAGGCCTACTCATGTTTTGATAATTGACACTTACCTGGACAAAGAAGAACTGAATAAGAACAGTGTAGTAAATGACAGTGTGTTCAGACAGTGATTGTCCGCCTAGAGACTGTTTTGAGCATATATTCATTGCCATACCCCATTCCTAGTTTGGGAAATAGCTTATGTTTTCAGCAGTAATTCAAGAGCAATGAAATGGATGAAGATATCGCAAGAAGAAAATTATCCAAAGGGAAAACAGAAAAGATTTGATGCTTCAAATTAGATTTTCATCTTAAAGCACCACATAAAACAAATGCAGCTTTATATCTAGACCAGAATTCCTTAGGTACAGTGATTTTAGCCATGTGTCTTATCACAAAGAACTCTGACCATAAATATGGCATGTCTCTCTATGAAAAATTAATCCACCAGGACGGCTGACATCACAGCAAGTCAGAAGTAACAGAGATAAAAGCTACCTTAAAAAAAAAAAGGTCCTAGGGGAGTCCCAGTTCAGACACTACAGTACACACAGAAATAAAGGAAATTCACTGCGGAAAGAAGAAACATAGTTCTGAGTAATATGAATGTGGTCACTGGGATATAGCTACACTCTGCTTAGCCAGCTGGATCCATTTGCTCTACAAAAGACAAGTGGCTGCTAAGATGATTTATTTGATAAATCTGCCAGAATTAAGGGAGCTGATGTTTTCCATATCTCATTTCCAACTCTGTGCTATTTTGAGTCATCGCTTCCTGGCACGATGTCATACCGCCTGCCTTTCAGGGTGGCTCCTGAGTGGTGTCAGGAGGTCTGTGTACATCCTAGACACAGGAAGATGTAGAGGGTATTTACTGGGGAAATCCTATTATAATGGTTTCCTTCGTGTTACAAAACTTAACTTGACAACAATGGTAGTCCTAACAAATCCTTCAAATAATCTGGGTTACAAGGAGCCTTAGTAGTCAGCTTTGTCAATTCAAATTCCATCCTTAATTTTCATATATCTGCTTTGTCTCTATTTGCAAATTTAGTAAGTAGGCCCCCACTTGTTCTAGTTAAGTCATTAATAAAATATATGGAACAGACTAGAGCTGAGGACTTTCCTAATAAGAATACCCCCATTTGTGCCAACTTTGATCCATGTATCTGCACGTTTAAGTACTGTTGTTATCAGGTACTAATTCACTTCGCTACCTGTCTTCTATTCTTTCCACATCTGACAGGGCATTGGAGTCCCTGTTAACGACCTAGCTGAGGCCTTTTCAATGTAACCTTTCCCTAATCCAGAGTCTGTCTGTCTGTCTTATTCTCACACACACACACACACACACACACACACACACACACACACACACAGATTGGTTTGGTATTTGTCCTTGGTAATCAGTGGAGGATCCAGTAACTATGGGCTTCTTTTCTGTGTTCAGAGTCACGCACTATCATCAGACAGAACTGGGCTCTGGTTTCAAAGAAGTATGGTTTTTCTTGAAACCATACTTGGAAACATTTACAGAAGATAGTAATAATACCAACTAACACTCACATAGTGCCTGTTAAGGTCCTATACTATGCCAAGCACTTTGCATCTATTAGATCCTTTATCCTTGCAACAAACTTACTAAGTGAATAGTACTGTTACTCATTATCATCTGCTGTTACACCTATCTAAAAATGGGGAAGTTGAGGCTGAAACTGTTAACACATTTACTAACATGTCCATAAAGCGGCAAAAGTATTAGAGCCATGATTGAACCCATGGTGTGCCTGGCTCTTAGTCATTATGGCCTACTGCCTGCCAGGATACATAAATGGAATGGCTGAGAAAGAGGCCTCAGAGAGGAAGTCAGGAGATTTGTTATCTCGAATCATCATTTTGCTTCTTTTGGCCTCAGTTTTCTTATCTGTATAATGGGAGGTTTCAGTCAAAAGATCTTTAAGATCCCTTGATTCTTTATCATTCTTTTAAAGCATTTCTTTTCCAAAGTTATTTTTGACACGTAGTGATAAATAGGAAATATGAAGTATTTTATACCCTTTAAAAATGTTCTTTTAAACTTAATCTCACTATGACAAAGTTGGTAGAATTGCTGATGGTTTAAACCTCATCCTCCACAAACGGTACCCTCCAAATCAACATGAACTGGCTGATTAGGAACATTCTAATTAAGCAATTAGAGGTGTCTAATGACTGCCTCTGAAGGGCTTTCCCCCCCCCCCACCCCCACTTTTTTTTTAAAGTAGGCTTCATGCTCAGCGTGACACCAATGCGGGGCTTGAACTTACAACCCTGAGATCAAGACCTGAGCTGAGATCGAGCTGGATGCTCAACCGACTGAGCCACCCCACGCGCCCCTCAAGGACTTTTAAGTAACAAATAATAGTACATTTGATTTGTATATTCATTTAATTTGGCAAAGTAGAAAAAAAATAATGCCATGTGGATAGATAAAAAATGTGCCCTGATACATAGCTACATATAGAGAAAAAAAAAAAGAAAAGAAAAAGCACGTATTACTTATCTGCCGACAAGCATGATTAGACTATGATCCTAGCCTGTGGAATCTGTATTAGTTTCATTTCCTTTTTTGTTTCCCTGATAGAATATGCCCCCGAAGCCAGAGAACAGCTTTACCATATGGCAGCATATGCTTCTGGGGCTAGTACTGGCAGGCTGCTCTGTGAGCACCGCCTAACCTGGTGTTCTGCGACTGCATATGAGTGAGAGGGTATGAACTAAGGTGTGAGAACAGGGAACTGACAAGCCAACCCAAAACAGGAGGCCACACTGTGTAGTGACTTGGAGACTTACAGATGGATGCTGGCTTAGAGGGTTTTGGTAACAATGACTTCCATTTATACATTTTATTGCATTGGTTTCAAATTCACATTTTATTTTATTTTTTTTTAATTTTTTTTATGTTTATTTATTTTTGAGACAGAGAGAGACAGAGCATGAACAGGGGAGGGGCAGAGAGAGAGGGAGACACAGAATCTGAAACAGGCTCTGGGCACTGAGCTGTCAGCACAGAGCCCGATGCGGGGCTCGAACTCACGGACCACGAGATCATGACCTGGGCTGAAGTCGGACGCTCAACTGACTGAGCCACCCAGGCGCCCCTCAAATTCACAGTTTAAATTAGTGCAAAGTGGACTCCATACTGCAAAGCTACCATTTTGTTCGTTTCTTACTGAAGCCATATATATATGTACATACATATATATATATATGTACATATATATAGCATGTATATATGCATGTGTGTGTGTATATATACAACAATTCCTTTATTTTGACTATACTATTATAATGTAATTTGGAAATTTAAAATAAATATACAATAAAAAACGGCCACTGAAAACAGTAATCAAATGATGAAAATGGCCTTGAAATGAATCCATGTACATTTTCAAGATATGCAAGTTCAGCCACTAACACAGTAACTGGCAAAAAAAGTTAAAACAAGTCCCTTCATTAATTACATGGGTAATACAAGTAGTATTTCCAAGCCTATTGTATTTTTTCCCCAATAAGTTTTTAAAAATTCTATCTCGTTTCCCAACACAACATAAAATGTTGATTCTTTTATCTAGAAGAGAATTCTTGACATTAAATAATGAAACAGTTTTAAAGAAACTGTAAGTTAGCTTTCAACCATACTGGAGAGGATTTTCATACTCGTTTCTTAAAATATGCTGGAAGAGATCCCAAATTTATGATTGACCACGATAAGAATAATCAAACCGAGTCCATTTCAGGAGGAGGAAGAATCTACCTGTCCCTTTACTGAATACACCAAGATCATGTGGCTAATTTGAATTCTGTCCCGAAATCCTAGGTTTTTTTTTTTGTCTAAAGTTTTGTTTCTGATGTGAAGAGACCTTATTATTGAAACCCAAATACAACATTTGTTTTGGCTACTGCTTTTTTCTTTTATTTGGGTAGCAGTGGCTATTGTGGGACTTTTCTTTGAAGGGGAGGGGTTGTTTTTATTTATTTGTTTGTTTATTTATTTCAATAAATGAAATTTATTGTCAAATTGGTTTCCATACAACACCCAGTGCTCATCCCAAAAGCTGCCCTCCTCAATACCCATCACCCACCCTCGGGGAGGGGTTGTTTTCTAATGTATGAATTTAAAACACACTTCATTCTTCCAAAGTACCGAAAACAAAGGAAGAACAATAAAATACTATCCAGGAATATATCACTTAAACTAAAAACAAAACAAAACACCCTGCAATTTTGTCTAATGACTGTATCGTGAGCTGGGAAGATCGTTGAAAATCCCAGACCCACTGCCTAATTACATGGTAAAGGGGGCTAGAACACGTTTCTTAGATTGCAAAGAGGGAGGACTAGAACAAAAACAGTTTGTTTTTGCTTCACCAAGCCGTGGATGCAAGGAGCATAATGGGATTGTTATTTTTCACCTTGTGGTCTGTTTACATCATCTTTTGGTCCTTCATCTATGCTCATTTACAAATGAGTACTTTTTGGTTTAAAAACGGGTGGGGGAGAAGACAAGGAAATCCAGGTGCTTTGGAAAAGGACTGATTTCCTGTAGCTGTAATTCTCCATGCCGCTGTGTTGAGTTGTGCTGCTGTTCTGAAACCAAGCACACAATTTCTCCCTCTTTGTAGCCTCCAAACACACACACTACACAGAGGCGGCTGGGCATGCATTTTGGATACACGCTGATACATGTTTGGATGCAGACACATGGATAATGAAAGAAGAGCAGCCAGAGCCTTCCTGAAATACAATTTGGACAAGATGAGGATACTCTCTTCTTCCTCACAAGTAAATTTCTAATGTTTTGCCAAAAATCTCGAGAAAAACCAATCTAACACACTGTATTACAGGCTTCCAAGCACAAGCACTTTTTATTCATTGTTCTTTTTGATGAGCAAACCCCTTAGGCTGGCTAACCTGGCTTAAAAAAAAATTCTATCCATAAAATCAATCATAGAAGCAAGGCAAGCCAAATCATCTTTCTCGAAAAAACGGGAAGGAGATTTAATGAAGGAGGTAGATGGTGGGTGTGGAGCAGCGGGAAGAGAACCGGGGTGCCCAGATGAAGTCCTAAACGTGTACCCATCCGTTAGTCCTCTACTCGGTACTACTAGAGGGAAAACACATGCATCAGCACTCCTTGTGAGTTAAGAAAAAAGGCTGCAAGGTGCCGCTCTGATAGAGGGCAAGCACATTTTCTTTCTTAGATTGCAATTACTCCTGGCAACATTTAACGTGACACATTCTATGCCAGGGAAAGGATTCTCAGTCATTTAGAAACACAGTTACTCCTACACCCATCGCTTTCATACGTCCATGTGGTTATATGCCTCTCGTTTATGCGACTTTATATATGCTCTGCCAATATTAAAGCATCCAAATAGCGGCTGACCCTACCTTCCCAGCTCTTCTCGTCACACAATGCAGTCAGGTCCAGCTCAGGCACTTCGGAGACAAAGCTCTCCTGCTGCTCATCAGCATCTTGGGTCCTCTGCAGTTTGGTGTCAGTTATGCCGGAGTGCTCCTGAATCTTCATTGTGGGGTTCTGCAATAACAGCACAATGTCCCCAAATATCTTACTGCTCACCAAAACCCAAAAATGTCTGCAGCAGTTCCACTCCTTCTGGATGAAACCTCCCAAGCTGAGGCTGTGGGTGTACCCAGCACAGAAATCAAAATCATAGTTTGATGCCCCCTGGATACTGGCTGGCCACCTGCATGCAAGAAGCCACTGTCCATCTATGCTCCTTTAACTTTTCCGCTGAGGAAGACAAGAGGATTTCCAAGAGCTGCTGCCCCTCCTGATAACTGCAGGCAGCTGACAGTCTTGATGGTTACTGATTGTGGCCAGGAATGAGGGAAAAGGAGTTTGTGTTTCCTTAAAGGAGTACAGCCCTGCAGACGGTAAACAACAACAAAAATCCTGCTACCGCCGTTGCTAAGGCTGTAGAAGCAACATGGTGTCTCCTGTGTGCAGACTTCTTTGCCCCGTAGGTAAACAGTCCGGCAAGGCCAGGAGCAGAGGCTGTGTGCACGAATGCCCTCCTGCTGGCCCTGCAGGCTTAGATCAATTAAGCAGGGCTAGCTGCACATTCCCAGATTTCCTGTGGTTGTTTTCTCCCCGAGTGTGGGGAGGACAGACTATTTATGGAGGAGCTCTGGGTATTAAAGCATTGTTGCGCAAATTCAAACAGCACAGGGGTTTGGCGGCTCATCTGGGCTAGCAGTAAGGAATACGGACTCTGGAAATGAGCCAAAATGACACGGGGAGCATTTTTTTTTTTTTTTAAAGTAAAAAGCCAAGAACTGGCAAGTCAGCAATGCATAATTTATATCTTAACAAATATCAAACTGTCACTTGTTTTTCTACTATTCTTCTAGTCTGAGTACTGAATACTGAGCTCCACTTGGTTTTGCTCACTGGGGGCACCTACACCCTGCTCGGCTACCTGGGGGATGGGAAAACCCTCTCCCAGAGGCGGCTGTTTTAGCTAAGTGATTGTATGTTGACAAAATTTGCCCTGAAATTAATTCTTTTTTACCTTGCTTTTTTTTGGCATCTTGTAAGCCCAACCATTGTCCCTTTCCCTTCTCTCCTAAGATTATAAACCCAAGTGTTTACTCACAAATACCCTTCTCAAGTAGCACAGATCTGTACAAGAGATTTTCTTTGGAGAATAACTGGAAATTTATTTTAGCAAATATATTAAAGGAAAAAACCCTAAACATCTGGAAATCATAAATGATTCCTTTAATGCATGAGAAATGTTCTCCTGCTTAAAATAAGCACTATTAAGACTTCCAGCTACTTTTAATAGCTATTCAACCCACTTTGATATCACCAGGGGAATAGATGGGGGCTTTTACTATTATATTTCCATGAAATGATGCACAAGGGGCTTTTCTTTACATTTGGAATAAAATGAAAGATCATCAATCAGTTCATGATGAGCTCCTAAAGACAGATGAAAATGCCAAGTAAATCTGGGGCTTTAAGATACCTCAAAATGCTGCTTGTCTAATGGGGAAAACAGATTATGCACTTATGCTATAAAAATTATTTGTTCCTACAGCTGAGTCCTAAGTGGACCAGGGCTGAATGACCAAATCTGGCACTCAGTTTTTTAAGTTACAGGGTCAGCCACCAACCACTTGTGTGTGTGTGTTAGAATCTGCATACAGCAAATACACATTTTTCTCAATATTTTTAACACTGGTTACACTTAGAGACATAAAAACGAATATAAGAAATATGATTCCATATTGTAAGCATGACATATTCTTCTGGAAGAGCATGTATCAGCCCCTGACACTGTGCACTCGTGGAATGAATGTGGAGTTTGCTTTACAGGCAGACCTGGGCTTGCCGTGTGGCCGACATTTACTAGCTTGGTGCTCTGGCTGAACTGCTTCATTCACAACATCAATCTTGCAAGGTTCCTCTGAAGATCTGGGAGAAGGTATGAAAGGCCACTAACACAGTGCCTGGAGCATAAGAAACCCACACAGGGAGGCCATCACTCTTTTTTCATTACCAGGCCCCATATGCAGATGAGGAAAACACTGCCGTGTCTCAAAATGCTAGAGAGAGGGGTTGGAGATGAGGCATGTTCCACGGCAATTCGAGGTGAACCGTGCTATCTCAAGGGGTGGAGTTTTAGATGCATTATGAACAAAGAAAAGAGCCTTTTGGGTTCCAGACACAAGTCAGCACTAGCAATTTTGGTGTTTTGGGGCAGTATGGGTGAGAAGGGCTGAGGAGGAGCAAGCACGAAGACAGGCACCATGGGAGTTCACTGCAATGTGTACTTTTTATGACTGCAACCTCTGTCTCTTTTAGCACCCATTTCAAAGGAGATTGAGATTACAAAATTTTTTCTACATCTGAATTAGCATCCATTTCAAAGAAAGTTAAAATGAGAATATTAAAGTTTTTTCTCCCCCCTCCAGAATGTACAGATATATTCATTCTTTCAACAGCATGGTATGGGGCACCCACTGTGCTGGGTGTGTGAGACATGCACACTCCCAACACTGAGGGAGCTGGCACTTTGTGGGACAGGCTCAAGAATGCTCAGGGGAGTTCTGAGCACAGTTGATTTGGGTGCCATACAACAAAGGGCCACCTTGTGAATTAGTGAGCTGCTCTTCACAGTATTGCAATGAAGTTTGAGAGTCAGGTATGTGGGTGACAGAGAGATTACTGCCATGGATGGGAGGCTGGAATAGATACCCCCTAAGTTCCTATTATTCTAACAAAGAGAATCAGGTCAAAACTTTTTGTTTATTCAGTAATAACATCACATGCTATATACCTAAATAGGGTTATTATGTTGTGTGCTAGAGGTGCAAAGATAATATTTACTCATTTATTTAACAAATAAATTTTTAGTACTTACTACATGCTAGGCCATTTTCTACACACTGGAGATACTTCAGGGGACAAAATCAAGTCTGTCCTTAATGAATCTTACAGGAAGTGACAGTAAACAAAGAAAAACATGTCAGGCAGTGATATGGACTATGGACAAAAATAAAGCAGAGTAAGAGGGATGATGGAGATCAGGGCCACAGTCTGCAATTTTATAATAAGTGGTCAGGAAAGACCCTTCCTATGAAGGGACATATGAGCAGAGATATGAAGGAAATGCAGGAGTGAGTCATCTACTGGAAGAACATCTCAGGAAGAAAAGCGAGTGCAAAGGCCCTGAGGTATGGTCGCTATGTTTAAGGAATAGCAAAAAGATCACTGTATCTGAAGTCACCATATAAGGGTGTTTAGATTGTGCCACATACAATGGGGTATCACTCACACTATAGACCTATATTAACTTACATTAGCTTCTGGACTTTCTGGCTGATTTTTTACATAGTAGTGGCAGGGTCTCTCTTACACAAACCGCAACAGCTTGCATAGCATGGGCACACTCAGCACAGCCCTCATCAGCACACCCACACGCTCGGCTCTGTCCCGCTGTGCTGTGATCGGTCCCTGAGGCTGCTCTTTCATTTGCCCTCTGCTCTCAATTTCTGGCCTCACTGGTCTCACCAGAACCTGACATGGCTGCCTTGCCTGGGAGTGCAGAGTGGGCTGCTGGTGTGGACCCGGGGATTTATGTACACCTGGGATCTAGGGATGCTGCTCAGGGGCCACCCACGCTGAAGCTGTTCAGGCTCGGCAGCAATACGCCGGCATAAAACAACTCTTCCTTCAAATGTTAGTTAGTTTGGGTGATGCACCTCTCCAGATCATTCCACACACTCTCCTGTTGCTCATCATATGGAATTACACTTGTCTACTTGCTTGTCTGCTTCTTCTACTAGATCATTAATGTCAAAATGTCAAGGACATTCTCAAATACCAAAATATTTCTGGTTTCAACTTTTGTTGTTTACATGTCTTATATCATCAGTTGAATCAGAGAGTAAATGAGTTACAATAGTCCCCCCTTATTCTGAGGGGGTACATTCCAAGACGCCCAGTGGAT